ATTCATAAATAAATAAATAATAATGTATAATAATATATAATTAAGAATTAATGACGTCCAGTAGCTTAAAAGAGGAATCATTCAGTAGGTACCATGAGGTTTATTTTCAATTTGCTGATATCACATTCTCTGCTATTAATAAAGACATTGTCCATAGAGGTTGTCAGGGGTTGTCCACAGATTAAAAAATACCGCCTATTTTACAACGGTTTTCAAATTTCAAAATCGTTTATAATTCTTTGATTGGCTTTGACGATTGAGTTCAAAATCAGAACTAATACGATTTTGAATACAAGCAAAGCATGATCTCAACCTCAAATAATTATTTTTGGCTAGTGCCATACCTTTTAACGTGCGATTCTCAACACGTGTCAGGTGATACGCAGTGTACAGCAGTCGTCTAAGAATTGGGATAGAACCAACTTCCACCGGCTACTTTTTGACCGTATTGATCAAATATTTCAACGCCTTTCATGACTACAACAAAAATGTATTATGACTACAATAACATAATGGTTTCCAATAATCCAATTCTCAGCTTCAAGTAATACTTATACATCAATATGATTCCTCGTTTCAAATATTTTAAAATTAATCGCGTTCGTTGCAAACAAAATTTAATTTGCAAATGGTGTTTATCTGGTGGAAAGTTTGCTATAATAACTTTTTCCATTTTCCCAGATCCTGCAGATATAGAAATGTCTTTTAAATTTATTGAATAACTTGAAAACTTTCGATGTTTTCGCCTTGGGAATATATTGTGGAAGCGATTGAAAAAAGTTATGATTCGACAATATAATAATATAGTGAAAAGAACCTCGAAAACACTGGATATCTCGGAAAACTTCAGATTCAACTGAGAATTATCAAAATTAATATGATTTACATAATTTAAGGTGATGCATCACCTGAATGATCAGACTGTTGAAAATATTGAAAACTGTATGATTTCCTTAAGTGGACTAAAAACCAATACTTGATCTATAAACGACAAGATTGTCGACAAACTCAACCTAGACGTTATAATTCCATCTCAGTTTGGTACCTTATGGGTTCTGGTTTCTGGAGATTGATACTTCCTTCTGAAAAACTACTCAATAATTTAAGGTGATGCATCACCTGAATGATCAGACTGTTGAAAATATTGAAAACTGTATGATTTCCTTAAGTGGACTAAAAACCAAAACTTGATCTATAAACGACAAGATTGTCGACAAACTCAACCTAGACGTTAAAATTCCATCTCAGTTTGGTACCTTATGGGTTCTGGTGATTGATACTACTCAATACCACAAAATGTCATCGAGACAGGTTTGGGACTCCCGTGAGGAACTAAGGAAACTGATAAATAGAAATAGATTGACTATATACTGGATGAAAGGAAAAATCATGGGCAAAGAGAAAGCTAACGAGGGTGTCAGCTATATAAAATGACCGTTCAAGAACTGAAGATCTGCTTCAAAAAAGCCGGAATCAGCTCAGAACAATCACAGGGCTACTCACTGGACATTATCCATTAAGAGGACAACTGCAATAATATGACATACTTCCAGCAAGATACCTTGCCTGTACAGTCTGTACAGGATCGAGACTTTTGGAATGGATGTCAATTAGCCCATGAGGTTGCGGTATTTTCCGGTGACTTGGAAGAAATGAACAATTTAGACTGCGCTCAGAAAGTGGAAAAACGCCAATATTCCCACTTAGGGATCTTATGAACATATCAGTCGCTTGATCTTTCAGTTCATTTTCTTTGAACTTTCTCAAGTATTGTAGACCATAATCCCTACTTCATCTCAAGATTTGTGGGGTACATATATTTGATCTCATTTCATTGAATAGCTATAAAATGCTAGCATCATTAATGTTATTACTTGACAAAGATCCCAGAGTTACTAGACCAACGAAAAGCTAATATTTTGACAAAAAATAACGTAATATATAATTAAGAATTATTGCCTTCACAGTAGCTTTAAAGAGAGACCATTCAGTAGATACCAGGAGGTTTATTTTCAATGGACATTGACCATAAAGGTTGTCAGAGGTTGTCCACAGATTGAAAAAATTAATAGATTAAAGTATCTTGGTGTGATGGTGGATCAACATCTAAGGTGGGATGAACATGCGTTATATGTAATAAAGAAATTACAACTAATATATAAGTTTTATTCGCTTCGCCATATTCTCAGCAGGAAAATCCTTTCCATAATTCATACCTCATTAACGGAGTCAATTTTAAGATATTTCATAGTAATATGGGGAGGTCTCTACCACAACGGTGAAAAAAATTTAAAACTAATAAAAATTGTTGGCTAAGAATACTCTTTAAAAAAGACAGATTATATAATACAAATGGTTTGTATAATGAATTCAAGCAACTAAATATCAAAAACTTATTTGCCTACTATATACCTACCATATACCGTATATACCCATTGTTAATCCGCTTAAACATTATGATACCCGATTCACAGAAAAAAAGTCTATTGATTTGCCGATATTCAAGAAAAGTCACTTTCAAAAATTTCGTTTTTTTCGTTGGCCCCAAACTATATAATTCACTATCTTTATGTGTGAAAGGATTTAGAAGGGAAAAAGCTTAGAGTCAGATAAAATTAATGTTGATCTTTATCTATAATTTCAGAAAACAATTGAATACCTCACATTGAATTCTGAAAATCATCTACTTTACTTTAAAACAAATATTATCAATCACTATTATGATGTTATTCTGAAAATAATATTGACTTGTTGATACCTGAAATTTTAACTTACTATCAAATACTTACCTCGTGTTAACTTCTGTACCTCTTCGCTTTACTGTAAAATCAATATTTACTGATCACTGATTCATAAACTGCTGGATGATCATTAAGTAGTGCATAACACATGCATTCTATACTTAATGTGATAACACCTACCGAACATGTGTTGGTGATACCTTCATTGAAATTAATATTTATTTCATAAAAAAAGTGATCAAGAATAGATACCCCCATAATCTGAAAAATTAATAAATCTAAATCAATAGAGAATCTGCTGAAGTGTAATAAAGGGCAAACTGAAAAGTTACTGCGTAGTATAAACCACTGAAAAGTCCAATTAGTCAATAACTTGTATTGGTAAACTCTACCTTCAAATTGAAATAATGTAAAACAATTAGATATTCATACCTACCTTTCTTCAGTGATCGACGTTTCGGAAAACACTCTTTTTCCGTTTTCAAAACCTGAAATTCACTTTTAAACTTGAGCCTCAAATTGTGAATGGCTTCAATTTTTTTGACGTATGTTAAAAGAAGTCAGTAAGAAGTATTGAGTCCTCCACAAAAAATGTCTTTCATAGAATAGTTACCTGAGTATTTTCTATACTCGACCGTTCGTCAAAACGACCGCTGTTGTGAAAAAGCACCGCTTGCAAGTTGACAAGTAGGTATGCATGCATTCTTAATTATAGTGAAACATACTATACCTGCGTATTAATTGTTTTAAAATTATTCTTACAATGTTGCCTTATCTATGAGAAATGAGCATTTCTATGTTTTTACCACTTTTATTTGTAACTAAAGTTATTGCAGTTTCGTCCTGTAAGGACATTTTCAAACTTGTAGAGTAATGTCAAGTTTAATGTGTAAATTTGAAAAATGTCGAAACTCCAGTAACTTTAGTTACAAATGAAAGTGGACATTTCCAATGTCCTCATAATCATACATTAATGCATATTTTATTGTATAAGTTTGAAAATATCCTTATGGGACGAAACTGCAGTAAATTTGGTAACAAATAAAAGTGGTATAAACAGAAATTATCATTTTTCATGATGATCTCCTAGCATATAGTAACGGCTACATCAATCAATTTATTGCCAATCTACTAGTCAGATGAATCTGATAACTAAAAATATTATTTTAACAAGCTATACAAGCTATACTATTAGGTATTGGTCCACCATTTTTATTCATAATATT